CTTATAGATGACTTTGCATAATGACTTAACACGGAATTATTTTTCTGGTAACAGTGTCATGGTCATAAATAATCAGTTTCCTACAAACAAACAAGTGCAAATCTAGAAAACTTCCTTTAAAGAATTACCCAAACCCAGCACACATGTAGTATGGCTATTACATAAGCTAAGCAATATGACTTAAAAACGTGTATATGATGATACATGTGCACTAAAGACCACCTTCTGAAAAGTTTTCATAGTGTTGCCAAGTTAATAATTCTTTCAAGGCACTGAAGAATTATGTAGATGGAGTTTCCAAAATATAATTAACAATTGCTTAAACTGTTAAAAAGCCCTGAGTCAGAACTTTCAATAGCTTCCTGAAATTATAGATCTCAGACATAATGGCACATGTTTGTTTATTTATAAAAAAATTACAAGACCATTTTGCTTTTTGGAGGGAAGAAGTCATGTTTATGAAACAAAATCAAGTAGACTATACAGGAAAAGTAAAATATTCAGCAACATTATTTTTCTTAGACAATTTGTACAGGTCAATTATAACCTGTAGTTACAGATTTAGGCACCAAATTAAGGTGACAAGTCACTTCTCCTGTCCCTACTGCTTAAATTCTCAACAACAACCAAAAAAACCTCAGTTTTAACCTCAGGTTCCCTTTTCCTTTTTACTCACAAACAGGAATCAATGCTGGGAAAAGTAATACTCTGACAGAAAAGGAGGTAGGAAATGCCAATGTAGCAACTTACAGTTTTAATTCATCAGCTCCACTATCTAGTTCCTATTTTTACACTGTAGTTTCACCCACTACTACACATCAGTAAATTGAGCTCAATAGAAAGGATTTGCCCCCTCACTGTAGTAAAGCAATGTACACATGAGACAGCATTAAAATTTCCTCAAATTTAATGTTATAAAGAAATACAACTATAATTATTAATACTGCTATAGTTATATATATACGTTAAAGTTCCAAGGCTATATGATTATCAAGTAGTATCAGTAAGCATTCCTATCATAATATTCAAGCAAATGAAATTAGGTTGCCTTTTGGAGAGAAAAACATATTTTGAAACTTTTACAAGTAGATGTAAAGACAACTGACATTTTCAACAAGGCACACATAATTTGTGAAAATCTATTACCTTCCCAATTTAGTACAAACTCAAAGCTAACCTAATTCTAATACTTAAACTGTATCTCTCCCCTCTGATTCCAAATAACAAACTCTTCCAATTAATAGACATTTAAAATCTACTCAATTATGATTGCTAACAATTGGAAGAAGAGAGAGAGAGAAATGCTGCCCCTCCCCCAAATTCTAAGACTTGACTTAGATCAAGTTTACCATGACTTTAGACCTTGCAAACACAAAGAACCTACTAAATAATTCAGGTGTTTCTTGATATACACACAGTTAAAAATTCTATTCCACTTCAGGGGAGGAGGAAAAGGGGAGCTGTTGTTTAATGCGTATAGAGTTTCAGATTGGTAAGATGAAAAGTTCTGGGGATCTGTTTCACAATGTGAAAGTATTTAACACTACTGAACGGTATACTTAGAAACAGTTAAGATGGTAAATTTTATGTTATGTGTTTTTTACCATAACAAAAATGCAAAAAATATCTATCCCCAAATTCAATTTTTACACAAATTACTACTGTAAAACATTTCAGCCACTCAGAGAGGATAAGTGCTTTTCCTTTTGGATTAAAAAAAAAAAAGTGAGCTGTAGTAAAGCCTATAGTTTACAAAGCAATTATTAAACTACACTAAGAACTGATTGGCTGAAAGACCCTTTTTATTACTTAATTAAATATATTCTCTCCATTAATGCTTTAATGGAATCTACATTATCTTCTTTATCTTTCCTACCTGTAGCAACCTCACTGTCCTGACCCTATCCAACTCCCTCCCTAATTCTCTTAGTTCATAAATTTAACAATTAGTTCTATTCCAAAAAGGGTCCAGAGTTCAGAATAATCAAAGAAAAGCAACTGGGCAACACATAGCTTGACAGTATGTTTCTACCATGTGAATATGACCAAGCAAACTTTGAAATTTGAACTGGACAAACCTTAAGCAGCATGCATTACAATGTGCTAAAATGTTCTTACAGGCTAAAGCCATCAAAAATATAAACTCGAGAAAGTTATTTCCAACTTTATCAATTAAATTTATGCCTTAGTAGCTAGCTGGTCAATTTGCAATGTTTAAAGTTACAAATATCTTAAGCATATTTTGGCCAGCTAAACTAAACACTTGTCTAATATAATATTCCTATACTAATACAAAATTATCTTCTCTTGAAAATCTTCTTGCTCCCAACAAAATTAAATATGTATATAGTATAAGCAATAAGAATGTTAAATTATGTGGACAAACACTATTAGAATAGCACCATCTGGTAAGTTGTATGTGTGTTTTGCATAACAAAGCTAACAATCTCAGAATAACAAAAATGTGGTAAGGTGAGGGGGTACAGAGAGGGAATCCAAATACAACTCAATGACAACTCTTCTGAAATATTAGGAAATGTTTTGTACCTTTGAATCCCTTCCTTTTGACTACAGATTACTTTAAATACACGCTGCTGCACAATAAATTGTGAGTGTGCTAAGATGTTTTTTCTTTTATTTTATTTTTGTAGAGACAGGGTCTTACTATCTTGCCCAGGCTGGTCTCAAGCAATCCTCCTGCCTCGGCCTCTCAAAGTGCTGGGATTACAGGGATGAGCTACTGTACTTGGCTTTGACTATTTTTTTCAATGTTGTGTATCTAGCCCCTGCGGCCCAATAAATACTTTTTTAAATGAATGCATGTCAGTTTTTTAATAATTCTAGGAATAGTAAAAGCTCTTTTGAGGCACAAGATAAAGAGGTTTAGATAATGAGGAAGAAACACACCAAACTGGAAAAGTACTGCTAAGAGACATACAGTAAGAGGTAGCATTCAGGGAGTTGGAGGAAAGTCACTTAAATGATTAAGTTCTTAATTTATTCTCTCTCACAAATCTAAAATAAATTTAAAATAACTTTTAGGTACTTGGAAACATGAATAGAGAAGTATTTTCTATTCATGAAACAAATTTTAAAGTGATACAAATACAGGAAATCCACAAGTACTTAGCACTAAAATTATAGTGACTTTATGATTTCTATGATAGAATTTTGTATTATTGTACTTTTATTATGAAGGAAATAATAAAACTAGTCTAGAAGATATTACCAATTAGGGATACAAATTTTAGCACTGCAGCTCAGAAGATAAATAAAAAGCATTTGTTTAAGTAAAGTAGAGCTGTAGACCACATGATACTCTGGCTGGCCAAACTCCCCAAGAGTCAGCCAGGTGCTCCCTCCTCACCAGCGGATCTAGTGGAAAAGAGATGGGTGGCCTATGGCATGGAAGAAAAGGAAAAACCTTACTTATGCTGTTTTCAAATCTGCAAGAAGATAGTCTTGTTTGTGTCTTTATGTGAACATCATCAATCAGATGTTCTGTCTTTTTACAACTTTAAAATAGTTTTAAAAATAGCCTCAGTGGCCCCTTATTAGATAACTGAATAGAGTCAATACAAATATTCAAATTTGAAATTTATAAAAATTTTTCTGTTCTAAATGGTAAGTTACTCAGCTAAACACAGATACGGAATTGTCAAGACGACAAAAACAGCCAGCAAAGCTCCCCATGGCTTTAACCAGGACTTCCAAAGGCAGCAGCAATTAAGCAGCTAGAAACACAGTGTCATAAGGGCTAGAGACACTGTAATTTTAAATTTAATTATTGTATTACAGTAGAAAAACTGAAATAAGAAAAGGCTAGCCAGATTTAAAGGAGAAAAAAACTACACAGGAAGATAACTATTCTTAGTAGTAAGTTTATAAACATTATATAGTAGACACTATTGTAAACACCTGATATTTTTATAATCTAGCAGCAAAATACTTATTTATGTGTATATTTACCCTGGAGGCAACAAGATTACTCATTCAGAGGAGAGAAAATGATTAGATACTCTAAAGTTTGTGTCAAAAAAAATCTACAGGTAATCAGACATATTTCTGTACATGTCTTGGTCACATTTTCTAAAGTATTTATTATGAGGTTATTTACTATGTCTTGGGTATTGCTGGCAGTTTAAATAATATCCTCATCTCTAGGTATAAAGAGAAACTGTTTTCTTTATAGTAAGACTTACTGAGAAAGAATGGAAGTAAGGCCTATAATGAAGGCAGAATCAGTAACACTGTCAGAATTAATTGATAACAGAGAAAAAAAAGATCGCTGCCTTTGGACAATGCATTACCCTTTGCAGATCAGCACACTAGAAAAGCTAAATAGAACTTCAGAGGTCCAAATAGAGTAAGGTCATTTCACTGGTCAGGTCAAGCCCAGGTAAATAATCACAGGGAAAAGTGAAAAACACTTTTCACAGACATTTTTTTAAAATGCTGGCTGAACAAAACAGTGTAAAAATTAATATTAATATAACTGACTATTAACAGTTATATGGGCAGTTAACAGGTACTCTTTTATTATTTTTTTCCCATTAGTTGCCCACAATTGCTTATTTTTCCTTTTCATGTCTATCAGTAATTTTGAAATTGGTAATTTTTTTTTCTTTTAAAATCAATGTGTACAAATCAGAAACTGGTTATTTGATTCAAGTTAAACAAATTTCCTTTTGGATCTAGAAAATAAGCTAAATGCAAAGCCATTATACTCTTTATGCATCCATTTACTCTAAAAATTGAGAAACAAACGTGGATAACTTTCTGTTATCTCAAAAAGGGAACCTTCCCTTCAATGTTCCCTTCAACTATGCGGAACTTGTACTAGCATCATCATTTACCATATGTGACATTAGGTTTGACTTGCCCCTTTCATTTGATGCATGACTTTTCAGAGAACCTGCATCAACTCACTGTGTAAGACCATAATAAACCGAAGGATAACTGATCACAGCAAGTATGTCTCTTTTGAGGTCTAACAAACTTATAAATTATAAGAGAAAATACAATAAAACCAAAAATAACCAGGAGATCCGTAATGGTTTCCCCTTAGAAGCTAAAAGTAAATTACCTACGAATTACATGGATTTGGTGTTCTAAATTTAAAAGAAAAAAGAAAACCCCAAAAAACACAATTTCAAACACTTCTGTAGAGTTTTTGTTCTAGAACATTTACAGTCTAATTACATCCTAGTAAAGAAACTATGATATTAGAAATTAAGTCATTAGAACTTCCTACTAGCTTAAAAGCTTACTAAAATCTCATGATCAGATATTTTAGCTAACAAAACACACTGTGGTTCTTAGTTAATACAAAAGAATCCTTCGTTCAATAGCCTTGCGACAAATAGGACATTCACTCATGCGGTCTCCACAGAGCTGGCATGTTCCATGGCCACAGAGGAAAATCATATTCTTCAGACGATCCAAACACACAGGGCACATTGTCTGTAATGTGAGATAACAAAGTGATAAATGCTGAGGCATTTGATATTTTGAAAGTGACATAATGTGACAATTCTGTTATATCATTACTTTTCTTCTGTTATTTTAGTCAAGTAATATTTTGATGCTTTTAAAAAATAATATTAAAAAATGTTTAAATAGTTAAAATATCATCCCTATAAAACAGAAATATTGGTTGTACTGTCAGGATAATATGAAAGGTACTAAATTAAAAAAGCTATATAAAACAAAAAGATATAAACACCAAAACATAATAGGAAATGGATGAAAACAGCCCCATTTAGTCTGATTCAGATTCCTCAACTCTAGGTACTTGGCTGCTCTTGTATGAAAAGAACGTGACATAGGGGTCCAGGAGCAGTGCAGAGATGTAGCTAAGAACACTTGCTAGGCACTATGCCTGATATGATACAACCTCAGTCCTATTATCATTCCCACTTGGAAAATGAGGAAACTGAGGCTTAGTGGGGTTTAAAACCTTCCTCAAGGCAAGCCATACTGAGAACTTGGGTTGCGTGGCCCCAGAGCTCTTGCTCTTAGACATTGTGCTGCACTACATCAGTATCTATGTAGATTGCCCAAGTGAAAACCAATTAGCTTTTGTTACACATTAATAAACGTAAATTTCATGAACTCAGAAGAATTTAGAAATATCTTAGATATACTTCTGTGGAAACACCCTAGGAAATTTTTTTCTTCACAAAACACACTTTATAAAAACATATTTTGCCTTAATACATAATACTTCATTTGAATTATCTTTCCCAAATAACATGGAATAATTAAACAGGAATGTCTAGATTAATAAACCAGGCCTGAAGCTTATTTGACAATGTAATTACTGACCTTGACAATACCAGAGCTCATTGTTTAAAAAAAAAAAAAGGAATTGTGGTCTAAATTGTTAACCCCACTCCTCCAAAGAAAACTGTCACATTTATATATCTTAAAGTTTTGAAAAGCAAAGCTGTAGAAAATCACCTTTTTGGATTTTTAAATGGCACTCTTTAATGGCATTAAAATAGCTTTGTTTCTAATAAATTTTCAAGGTCCATGTAATTAATTAATAACTCTTATATCCAAAAGTAAACATATCTGTGCACTGTGTTAGATTACATTGAGATTAATAAATCCTTATTAGCAAATTAAATTAATTTCTGTCTGTTAAAGAAACACTGTGGTAACAGATCGGATATTTAAATGAAGAGAGTTATTCAGATGTTTTCTCTGGCTTTCTTGATAACCTTGAAGGAGGTCCCTATGAGAAATCCCATCATACCTCAGAAAATGACTTTTTAGTGATAAAATATGGTGATGAGGGTTATTTAAGGAAGAATAAACTTTTCTGGAATGTTAAACTTTGGATATAAGTAGAGCTCAACTCAATTACTCTTTCAGGACCTATAATACAGCCCAATAAGTGTCATCATTTATTATAAGAACAATTTAAATTTATAATTAGGAGATAAAATGCTTTTCACAAAAGATGTGTTAAAAAATCAGATTTATCTTTCTATAATTGTCTTATGGGAAAGGAATCAAGATGCTGGGAGCTTCAAAATTTGAAAAACATTTTATTTTATATTTTAATGAGCCAAAAATGTTCCTAACTACATTAAGAACCTTTAAATTCATATTATTTATTCACTCTGTAACACGTATTGCTAGGTGCTAGATTTCAAAAGAAAAACTGGCCCAATAGTGGAGTCTCCATCTTTGCAGATGGGTATTTAAACGCCTAATAAATACATGCACATACATTCAATTCGAAATTAGTTATCACAGGGGTTATTAGTTATCCTGGGTCACTATCTATTGGCTATGTTATTTTCTTATAAATTCAGATAAAAACACAGGAGTGATAACTCTAATAACTGCATGGCAATACTGATGAGACTGTCAGCTAAAGAAATGACACCCCTGCTGCTCAGGCCTTTAAATCAGATTTAGGTATGGCAAAAAAAAAAAAAAAAAGACTTGTTTTTTTTGTGGGGGGGGGACAAGAGTCTCACTCTATTTCCCTGAGGAGAGTGCCATGGCATCAGCCTAGCTGAGAGCAACCTCGAACTCCTGGGCTCAAGCAATCCTCTTGTCTCAGCCTCCCAAGTAGTTGGGACTGCAGGCATATGCCACCACCACGCCTGGCTAGTTTTTCTATTTTTAGTAGAGACAGGGTCTCACTCTTGCTCAGGCTAGTCTTGAACTCCTGACCTCAAGCCTTCCTCCCCCATTGGCCTCCCAGAGTGCTAGGATTACAGGCGTGAGCCACCCGCGCCCAGTCAAGACTTGCTTTCTTATTTAACATATATTAATACCTACAAGTTTTACCTGATTTCTTTATCTTGTTGTTTTTATCAAATATTGAGTAGATACAAAGGATTACTTTCTTTGACATAGGATGTAAAGAACAACATAACCAATACCCAGTTTAAAGTATGGAATGCTACTCTTATTTTTGAAGCCCCTTAAGTAAAATTCTCCCCAAGCCCTTCCCCCTAGCCCCCACTGATAATCACTACTGTGAATTTTGCATTATCTTTCCCTTGCTTTTCTTTATATGAGTGGGTGTGTGGGGGTGTGTGTGTGTGTGTGTGTGTGTGTCACACAGATTTTTCCTTTCTATTAAAGTGTCACACATATATAGAAATGTGCACAAATTGTAAGTGTACAATTTAATAAAAGTTCACTGATCAAACTCATGTAACTGGTCCTCATATCAAGAAATGGAGCATTAATACTCTAGAAACTTCTTTTGTGTCTCTTTCTAGCTATCCCCCCGTCAAGAATACCTCTATCCTTGACTTCTAACACCATCTCTATGGTATTTTTCTAAGTTTGTGTTCCCAAGCAATATCCTGTTTAGTTTTATTAGACAATAGCAAACTATTTTCCAAAGTGTTTTTACTAATATATATTTGCCATCAGCAGTGTATGAGTTATGGCTGCTAAGCATTCTGCCTAATACTTGATACCAACAGTCTTTAACATTTTCCTCAGTCTAGTAGGTTTGAAAAGGCATTTCATTGTGGTTTCAATTTTCATTTCCTGATCACTAATATGGCTGAGCATTTTTTCATATTTACTGGTCATGTGTGTTACCTATTTTGGAAAGTACTTGATTAAACCTTCTAATCAGATATTATTATTCATTGTAAATACTGAAGTAATATAAGTGATACATTAAGATAAGCCATACTTAATACAGAAAACACTAGTAGTGTTTTCTAGAAACATAGTAGTTTCATAGAAAAATATTGAGTGCAATTCTTAGAATCACTGTTTAACATGAAATCATTATTACCTGCTCTTTAATGTCCTGTAATTGTTGCTGTAACTTCTGCACATCTGCATTGACATTGGTATTATCCTTGTCCTTCTGTAAGACTGGAATATTCCCACTAGCTATAGTAACAGGTAAAAAATTTTTCAGTTATTACTGTTTTGACATAATGACTTTTTATTTCTAAAATTATTACTGTTTTATTAAAAATACAAAACTGTTATTAGAATCCTTGTCAAAACATTTTTTCACAGTTGGACAACAGATAAAGTAGTGACATTCATGTTATACTCTTTCATTTATAATTTTCAAAAAGAAATGGGTTTGCATGTTAATTTCTAATTACATTGAACTGAGCTACAGCATAATCCACCACAGACTTTCGGGTTTTGCAAGGTTCTACTTGTTTCCTTTGGCAAGCTCACAAATACATTTTATGCTTGTTTTCTCTGCTTTTGTATCATACAAACCCAAAAATGTAGCCAGCAGGGTTTTAGCCAGTTTGGGCAGCAATAATTATCTTAAAGCCTCTTAGATTTTTTTGAGGACACACAAAAAAACTAGCCTCCTTCCTTTATGTCCAAATTTCCTTGTTGTTACTGATCTGAGATGAGGAATTCAAGAAAGGTCACGATCAGTAATCTGCAAAAATGGAGGGATATCTTTTATTTATCCTACTCCCTAGATTCTTGGTCTTTTATTTTTGTTCTCGTTAATCTGTTCCTGGGATTTTTATTCTGCTCTATTTATGATAAAGACAAAAGCCTTGGGCAGAAGCTGCTACACTAACTTTCTTCCTCATCTGTTCATAAAATGTGTTCACAGAACAAAGAAATCAAAGATACCATCTAGTGCAAAGAAATATCTACTGCAAAGACAAAAAAATTTTGAAACAGCTGTACTATTGAAAAAGTTAAAGGTAAATATTTTTCATCTTTCCACTTACTCACTGGGTTACACTTCTGTTTACCTACAGTTACTCTGTCCCAAATAATTACCATAAAATACTTAAATGAAACAGGCAAACATGCTACATGAAGGTTAATACTTTTGTAAACTGAAAAATATTTAGTAATATGATGTCCCCTAAATACACTAAATTTCATCTTAAAAAGAAAGAGCAAATTTTCTTTAAGAACATATATTCTTTATACAATACATAAAGGTTTCTCAAAAGACTAATGTTTAAAGTTCTATAATCATATCACACACTAGAAAAAATATTTCTTTTTTTTTTTTTTTTTGAGACAGTCTTGTTCTGTTGCCCGGGCTAGAGTGCCACGGCATCAGCCTAGCTCACACCAACCTCAAACGCTTAGGCTCAAGCGATCCTTCTGCCTCAGCCTCCCAAGTAGCTGGGACTACAGGCATGCACCACCATGCCCAGCTAATTTTTTGTACATATTTTTAGTTGTCCAGCTAATTTCTTTCTATTTTTAGTAGAGACGGGGGTCTCACTCTTGCTCAGGCTGGTCTCAAACTCCTGACCTCGAGAGAGCCTCCCGCCTCGGCCTTCCAGAGTGCTAGGATTACAGGTGTGAGCCATCACGCCCGGCATAGAAAAAATATTATTTCAGGTGCTTGTAAGGTAAAAAGAGCACCAAAAAACCATACCTGTTCCATACCTCTCTGCATCCAACTTAGGTATCTTAAATTTTATAAGGCAATATAAGAAGAGATGTTCATGCAAGTCCAACAAGAAAGCAAAGAAAGAAAATTCACTTACAGATATCATCAGTGGCATCTTCTGCACTTTTCCCTCCACAGCACATAATGAAAGGTACTCTTCGTTCAACTACTGCCCGACACTGCACACACTTTTTCATCAGGCTAGCACAATCTGGAAAATAGTAACGCATACACTTCTTACAAGAAAGAACATGAATAAGAGTGTTGTCTTTCTCTGCTAATTTTTATGATTTAAACTTCACACAGAAATAAACATTAAACAAGTTATATCAATATACAATTCAAATTCCTTAAGGCAGGGCGTGGTGGCTCACGCCTGTAATCCTAGCTCTCTGAGAGGCCGAGGCGGGCGGATTGTTTGAGCTCAGGAGTTCGAAATCAGCCTGAGCAAGAGCGAGACCCCGTCTCTACTAAAAATAGAAAGAAATTAAT